AAAAATAAATAAAGTCAAGCACACAGCCAACTAAAAATCAGTGAAAGAGCGGGCGCTATGAGCTGGCCGGGCCATAAAACTGGAAAGTTGTTTGGTCAGTTCTGCAACATGGATTTGTTGCTGTTGTTCATGCTGGCGTTGTTGTTGTTTTGTTTTTGTTGATGTTGTTGTTAGCGGGAGCGTTGGGTTTTATTCGCTACCCGCAAAGGCCAAACATTCAAATTTTCCCATTTGTTTATATATTTTTCTCCTCTTCAAATTTATGAAAATCACTCAATTTTGCCTCCGACTGTTCTAGGCAGCAAAAAAGTTGCAGCAACAACAACAAGAAAAGCCTTGCCACTAACATAAATCTCGAATGCAGTCGGTGGGGGCTTGAAGCATGTCTGGAAAAGTCTTGCGGCAGTGCAACGCATAAAACTGTAAATTTTATGTACACAAACAAAAGTGTGTCATTCGTTTCCATCAGAGTTGGGCCTGCAATGAGGCATCGCCAACAGCAACAACAAGAACAACAACATTGCCAAAAGCTTGGTGTTGCACCAAGTTATGCTGTTGTTGTTGTTGCTATTGTTGTTGTTGTCGCTGCGTCGTCCACTGTCTTGCAAACTGGAAATCTCCAACTGAAGCGATCGAGACTGGAGACTGCAACAAAGTTCAGACTTGAGTTCTGCAGCCTGAAACTTTGTTTGCTCACTTTTGGCGCTCGTTGTTTTTGTGTAATTGTGCTCTTCACTTTAAAAAGAAGGGTACATCGAGTTTAGATGCAAGAATAATGTATATATGTTATGGAATAAATGAAACTGTTCCACAAAATCCTCCTCCTTATCGAGCTCAAACTTTCTGTGGATAATCCATTGAACCTACCAGATTAGAGTATTTTTTTAAGTGTACTTTTAATTTTAACAAAAGCTACATACTTGTAAAAATATATTAAATAATCTAACATTTACTATCCATATTCATACGCGATTTAGATTAGTTCGTTGTATTTCATGGTAATGAATATTTTAGTTATGTGTGTGAAAATATTTTTCGAAAGGTGTGGTTAACAATTTATGACAGTCCGAATAGGATTTATTTCTGAACGATACAATTGTCAAGACAAGGCCAGAGCTCCGATGGGAAAAAATAAAAATTGTATGGACTCTAACAGCGAAGGAGCAGAGTAGGAATGTACTTTATATTCCACTATAAGATGAACATTGAATTGTCAAGAAATTAGGAACTGAAATAATCACTCGTAGATTTGAAAGCAAAAAAATGAAACCCCCCTTTTTATAATTGTCAGAAAAGCGTATTCAGCTTCAACTCAGCTGAAGACAATTCAGATCTTTTTATGTTGTCGGTTGTTTTTTTATTTTTTAAAGAGAAATCTGGTTTTTCAGTCTGCAGTCTGCAGCAGCAAGCGTCAGCTTCGGCTTCGACTTCGACTTTGGCTTTAGCTGTTGCCGCTTTTTAATGATTGTTTTTTTATTTAACATGCATTTGCATTTTATATGTATTTTTCGTTGAATCATCGATTTGCTTTTGCACTGCTTCTGCTTCTTCTTTTTCTTCTTCAACATTCGTTCGCCTGACGTTCTCTTCGTTTTGTTTTTGGTTTCTCTTCACACTCGTATGCAAATTTTCCACAGCACTCTCGGCTGTCGGCTGTCGGCTGTTTTTGCACTTTTGGGTCTTTGGACTTTTAATTTGACACTAACAACCGGTTTTTGGGGCTTTGTTTTTTCCTCTTGCGTGCATGGTTCAAATGAGTTTTCAGTGTCAGCAGCAGCAGCAGCTTGAAAATTAATTTGCATGCGTTTAATTATCATTTGCTGGCCTGCAACAACGTGGACAGCGCGTGTCTTTATTGTGGTGTGTGTGTGTGTGTGTGTGTGTGCAATTAGCCCGACAGAAGACGAAGTGGCTTAATTAATAATAAATGCATCTAATGACGTGAAATTAAATGATTTGATTTATACAAAAATATATACATACTATATATATGTACATATGTATATGTATGCATATACTCGTGAGTACGAGTATGTGCCTTGGCAAGAAAAACAAATCGACAATATGTCACGTCGTTGGCCACGTTTTGTTTCCTTTAAGCAAAATTTATGATAGCATGTAAGCACTTAAACTTCATCTTCATTTATATCTGCTGTGCGGCGTGCGGTCGTTTCGTTTGCCCGATGGCTGATTGTCGGCTGGCGACTGGCGGCTGTCGCTTAACCTTAAGATACAATGCTCGTACGAAAGTGAAAGTAGCCAAAAAGTTGCACTCCATACAAACGCTCTCGACTCTGACTGACAGTTGATCTGTCTGTCCGTCCGTCCGTCCGTCCGATTGTCTGTCTGTCCGTGGATCTGTACGTGTGTCTGCCGCCTGTTAAAGTGATTTTATTGCTGCTGCTCTGTCTTTGTTTTTGTTTTTGCTGCTGCTACTACTGCTGGCTACAGACGGCAGAAAACCCCCACAAAAAGGTTGAAAATAAAATTAAATCCTAAAAAAATTATTACAACGATTTATACGTTGCGCTGGCAACGTGATTTCGGCATCACGTTTCCTTTTTTATTGCGCCTGCTCAGCCTCCACAAAGCACCACACCACACCATTCGACTCTACTCCAGTCCACTCCACTCCACAACATCGCCACCACCCCAACCACCACCACCACCCCAACCCTAACCACACCAAGCGAATCAGTCGGCTTTTATTTTTCGTTTGGCCGCTGTTCAGTTTCCTGTGCTCGGGCGCTGTAATTTTTGCTGTTTTTGTTATTTAATGATTTCAAGATTATGCTCGCTCGGCCGAACAACGCGCTACCCTTTTAACAACTCCTTGCGGTCCCCAACTGCCCCGTAACTTTCGCTTTTTACACCTTTTTGGTTGCAAAAAAGGCTGAAAAAGTAACTGAAAAAATTGTGTAAGAGCGCGTTAATATTGAACGAAGGTTGAAAGGTGTCAAAATTGTGGATAATGGCTGTGGTTTATACTGCTGCGCCCGCTTCGATTCGAGCACAAATTTTTAATTGGTTTGCGCTGCTTACACACTAAGTCGAAGTAGTCGAAGCCAGATTTGTCTCTAAATATAGTATATTTTAAGTTTTGAATCATTATCTCTAAGCGTGATTAACAGGCTCATAAATATGCAATTATCTCAATCATTACAAAACCAATTTCAACAAACAATAGCATCCATTTATACTGACAAAGTCTTGCAATTAAGCAGCTCCACGTACTTGTATTTGACAAAATACAGTGCTGCCCACTCGAATAATAACGTTATAACGAGCCTTCTTCATTTCATTTAAAGTATTGGATTTGATTAGCTTAAGTGTGAAATTAATGATGTTGCCGTGACTAGAAAACTATACTTTTATTTTTAGAAGCTATATAGGCATTAACTATGCGTATACCACAATTGTCTTATTAATCAACATACTCAAACGATTTATCGAATTTATTTGAAATTACAGCATTATTTTAATGCTAATGTAACTTAACATATTAATTGACGAATTAATTGTGTAAAATAATCCATTTTAAAAGTAATTTGCAAAAATGTGTATTACTTTTTAAAGTAAAATTTAAATTTTTAAAATTAAAATGTATTCAGATTATTAGTGCATACTTGTATTAGAAGGAAACAAAAACTGCGTTAAATGATCAAATTTTGTATTGAATACTAAGCTGCCTGTTTCTATTGGAGCGAGTTTGAGTGTTCAGAATAAAAATATACATAGATATAGATATGCTGGAACACGATTTGTACTTGGACTGAAATTGCAAATGTCAAATACTCAGCTCACGACGACGCTTAGCCACGCCATTAGAATAGATGGACGGATTGCGCGCATCCAGCGAATAATTACAGTGCAATTATAGTATATATATTTAGATATAGAAAAACTGGTTCTCTGAGTACCAATAGCAGATAAATACATATTTATTTAGTAATAAATGCGTGGGAAAATGTCTAAATGTGATGCTGGCCAACAGCTCGGCTCGTATGTGAAATGCGTTGTCTATATAATTTAGTGTCTATATGGGCAATAAAAATGACCAGTCAGCATCTCGAAAGCCACCAACAACAACAACAACTACATATATGACAACTATACTTTTGTGAGTGTTGCGTGTGTGTTCACGGATGCGAGTCTACTCGCTGATGTGCAATTACAGATAAACAAAAACTCATTATAATAAAAAGAATTATGGAGCGCCAAACGAAAACTAAAACACAGCGCAAAATAAAAATTCGGAGAAGCAGTGCTTCAAATCTTTGTTTTTCGAAAACAAATGCTCGTAATTTATAACGAGCAGCGAATAGCAAGCAGCCTGCAACCTGTAAGCGTCAAATTAGTGTCTGCCTCTTCTTGGAAGCTGTCGACATTAAAAATTAATTTTTACACCAAAAGCAAGAGACGAGATTGGATACGACAAAGAGAAAGAGAGCGGGTAAGCTTCCTGGTTGGTTGTCTGGTTGGCTGGCTGGTAGGTCGTTGGTTGCTTGGCTATGAAAAGATGGTTCAAAATAGCAATGCGGAGTAGAAGAAGCAAATCATGCAAGAAATTTGTTACTGACATAAAAATTACCATCATTATAATGTCTGGCTGTATGTTGCCGTTCCCGTTGTCGTTGTCGTAGCCACCGCCGGTTCAACATGAAACAGGAAGACACATGGTCGCATGGCAGTATGGCTGAACCGGCTGACTGGCTCACTGGCTGACTGACTAACTGGATGGCTCGTAGGGTACACAGAAAATACAATACCAACAACAACAACAATGAACAAGAAATGTGTGGTAATAGAAAATGTCGAAATAGACAACAAGCAAACACGAAACACGAGCGCTGTCAGGGCTAAGACAATGGCAGGGCCTGGCATGAATGAACGCCGTGATCGATGATGCCAGAGGTGAGAGTTGGAACAGTTGGAAACAAATGTGCAGGTCCGGTTGAGGGCCTGCCCGCTCCAATCGCTAGCTAGATAGTTGAACTCACCTGCGCATGATGGGCAGCGGCAATGTGAAGCGTCCATCACTCATCAGAGGCGTTGCGCCCGGCAGTGGCACCGTCGATATTATGGGTGTTAGTATGGTGGCGCCGGGTGGGGGCGGTGGCGGTGGCAGTGGTGCTGCACCCATTGGAGGTTGAGGGTGCGCCGCAGATGTAGGCGGTGGTCCCAATTGGCCCACGGGCAATGCACTGTATGGAGGCGGGTAGTGACTGTGCAGAATATCCGGCAGTCGCATCATGGCAGCCGCCGACGATGGCAACGTAGCGCTGTGCCCGCTGGTTGCTCCAAGATGCGGATGCGGATGCGCATGCAGATGCGGCGGTGGGTGCAAGTGTGGCGGCAGTGCGGGTGGCGGTGTCGTTTGCAACGTGGCAGGCAACGAGTGACGATCCGTATGATGACGACGTCCATGATGCGTCTGCGGCTGCGCCTGTTGCTGCAGCTGCTGCTGCTGCTGCTGGCGACGTTCACGACGCTCACGACGACGCTGCTCACGAGTTCGCAGCTGGGCCGTGTGCAGATCGTCCGTTTGGCATTCCGTTGAGGTGAAAGTGCGTATGGAGCGCGTAGGCGTAGCCAAGCTGCTGATTTTGTTGTGGGAAACAGTTGTTTTTGTTGTTGGTGCTGTAGCATTCACATTGATTATATTCACACTGTTATCATCGACACTGGACACATTTCCATTGACAATTGCAACATGTTGCTCCGCAGAGGTTGCTGGAGCAACAGCAATATCAACATTTACATTATTCTTATTCGTATTATTATTAAGCTTATTTTGTACACTTGCACTGAACACTTTGGCAGGCGATGGCTTGGCCAGCCCTGCGACACTATTATCATTTGAATTGATTTCGACCACACTGTTGTTGTTATTATTGTTGTTGTTGCTGCTGCTGGTGGTTGTGGTGGTGCTGTTGCTGGTGGTGGTTCTAATGTTGCTATTGGGGGTGACGGTATAATTACAATTAACAACGCAAACGCCGTTGTTGTTATTAACAATGGTCGCTTGGCTTGACGTTGTTGTTGTAGTGTCAGCTGCTGCTGTGCCTGCGCTGCCTGGCGCTGCAACACACACATGATTACCGTTATTAGAACCGTTATTACTGTTACTGATGCTGTTGTTGTTGTTGTTGTTATTATTATTATTCACTTGGATTGTAAGACTTGGCTGTCGTTGACAGGACTTTGTTGCTGGCGAAATTGCAATGTTGCTGACGCGTTTAGTATTGCTGTTTTCGTCATTGTTGTTCGTAGCGGCAGCTTGATTACAGCTCCCAACATTGTTGCTGTTGTTGCTATTGTGTTTACTGCTGTTAGTAGCAGTTGCATTTAGAAATACACTGCTACTGTTGTTTCCACTGATTGTCGGCTGTGCTGCTGCTACTGCAGTTGTAGCTTTGTGGTGCTGCCCCAAGGCCGTCGTCGTTGCTGGCACCACACCCAAACATGCGGCTGCTGTTGTTTGTGATTTTACTGACGTCGTTGGCAGTTGCAGTTGCATGGAAACCGCAGCAGTGCCTGCGGTCATCCCAGCCGCCGTTGCATGGGCTGGCACATTCAAACGCATGGTCCCCGCTTCTAAATCTGCTTCGCACACGTCCGCGGCGCCTCGCTCTTTCTGCTTATGCTCAATTATACTTTCACTCGCGCGAAATTCGGCATACAGGCGTTCGAGTTCTGCCAAACATTTGTTTGGTGGCCTTAGCGCACTGTAGTCGCCGCCGTCGAAATACGTAAAGCGGCGCGCTGGCGAATCGGACAACCACGACGAACCACCGAATGAAGGGGCAGGCAACGACGATATACTCGTAGACGTGAACGTTGAAGCGTTGTAGTTGTAACATGCGCCCACTGTTGTGCACGCGCCGAACGAACTCGAGAGACTGATCGCTGGTGAGCACTTGGGGTGGCTCTCTGGCGACGTTACCGCTGACTGTGTTCTCTCTTCTGTTGATGTTGCTGTTGCTGTTGCTGTTACTGTTGCCGTTTCTGTTGCTGTTTCTGTTTCTGTTGCTGTTGCGCTGGCACAGTGACTGCTTGGAGTTGCTGCTGCACAGGAAACAGGTTGATTGACCTGCACTAGGCCTGTTTCCTCAGTCGCTGTTGTTGTTTGTGTTGCTGTTGTTGCTGATGTTGCCATTTCTTGCTCTCCGTCGTGTTCATTGATAATGCAATTCGCTTTAATGTTGCTGCTCTTACTTTGATTTTCCTCGTTTTGTTGTGATCTGGCATTCGTTGTTGTTGGCTTTTCTTTCAACTTGTTTTCCATTGTGTGCTGTACATCTTCTTCTTCTTCTTCTTGTAGTGTGTTGCTGGAGTTGTTGCTGTTGCTGGTGCTGTTAACGTTTGCTGCTGCTGGCTGATGGAATGATGTGCAATTCTGTATAAAAGAGCGAGCGAGAAAAAGAGAGATCAGAGGTGTTTTATAGCGTATTATAAAAAAAGATGGGCGCATTTAGAGCTTAGAAGTTTTAAGTGAAAATTAACGTTAATTGCCATGAGGTTATGGCTATGCTAAAGATTTTAGCTTTGCCCTCATCATGTGGGTTTGGGGCCTTAAATGATATTAGCCAAAAAAAATGCTTGTACGCAAATTTGCAGGCACAGGCCAAGGCACAGGCCAAGGCACAGGCCCATACTCAGGCTCAGGCTCATGGGCAGGCCAAGGACTTTGCCTGAGCCTACAAGCGCATAAAGTCCGCTTAATTGAATTAATTAAGCCAACGCATAAACCCGTCACAAGTAATTGTTACACTGTGCGCCTGCATGTGCGTGTGTGTTGGTGTGTCGCCTGGCGTCTGCATGTTTGCTGATAAAGTTGTTGTCGCTGCTGTGGCTGTTGTTACTGTTTTGTTTGCCCTGACTCTGAAGCATGACTTACTGACTCTGCCCACCCACACACACACACACACACACAGACCAACACACACAAAGCGTTAGTTGAGTGCCTCCGACTTTGCTGCTATTAGCATTATGTGGGTCTACATGTATATAGTAATGAACATATGTATGTGTGTGTGTGAGTGTATTCGAGTGTGGGTGCGAGTGCGACAGGAACTGTGAGTGCGGGCTCTAATTATGTTACGCTGTGTTACTTGCATTAATTACGTCACAGAAATAATGTGATTTACTGTTAGCATTGCGCACGCCTCGCAACTTCATGGCTTGGCAGACTGCTGACTTATTGTTCTAAGCTGCCTACGAGTATGCTAGTTGTTGTTGCTATTGCTGCTGCCTCTCGTGCGATGCATGCTTGTGATTCTTAATGGTGTTGTTGTTCTTATACGTGTATGTATGTTGCAATCATAGCGGCGCCCAAAACTAACGGTGTCAGTTGAAAGCGTTGGAAGCTCCATTATAAACGAACATAAAATACGTTTGCTTGTTTCCCCATCACTCGCCACCGTCTACATGCCCCCAGACTACAGACTACAGACTACAATTGCTGTTGCTTCAATTATTGTCATCAGTTAAGTGTGGAGTGCGGGGTGCACCTTACTTCAGTGCGACATATCAAAAACATAACGGTAACTAAGGTGAAATCAATTCCACAAACCGTTTTTCTCAAATTTACCATTTAGTGGTTTAAATGAAGCCATTTCATGTTTCAAAAAGCTTGTAAAAAGAATCTTCTGCTTTTAATGATAGATCTGTAATTTTTAATATTCTTGAAAGCTTGCAATTTCGTTCTGTTTTAAAAATATTTTCATCATGACAAGTTTTATCATGATTGGTTAACTCTATTGTCATAAATTCAAGTTCTTACTGTATACAAATATACAAATTCAATGAAAATGTTTGTAATGAAGTTTTCATTATTTTTGTTTAATTAGTAATGGATTATGGCCCTTTAGAAAAAGGAGAATTACACATGTATGCATAGTTTACAAGGAATTTTAGCCTGTAAAAATAAGCCCATTGAAAAAAAATAAATACTCACAAGATTTTAAAGCATTTAAAAGGCAATTCCCCAGTTAGAGCAGATTTACTTTTATAAAGAAAAGGCTCTCAACCCCTAACGTGTACCCGAATTTGCAACTACGTAGCCATTTGAATGACAACCCTTTTGTTTCATTGTAGCAACACAACCCCTTTCGGCGTCACTGACCCACACACTCCGCCATAATGCACTTCAACTCAGCACAATTTGGGTTTGCGCAAGCATACTCATATTATAATGCATTGGCAGTATATGCCGATTTTATAACTCGTACTCGTATACTTTTGTCATTTGAGTGCGGTCAATTTTCCAATTCGCTGACGCAACAAAACAAATTACGTACTTATGCATGTATGGATATATCTACATGCATATGTATGTATGTATGTATGTAGTATACTCGTATATTCAAATGAGCACATGCATATGCACAGAAACAAAGGGCACACGCTCCCCCCACATGAGCGACCATGAGCACATATTAGCATTTACATGTGAGTGCTTACAGCTGCGCCTGATAGGGAACACATTGCGCTTATCAGAGACACAGTGCTGGGCGCACTTAAGGGCCGCCTAAGTGAAACATTAGCTTTTATCGAGAGCAGAAGCTGTCAATGGAGCGATAACGCAGCACTCAGCTTCGCTTTTGTTTCGGACTGAGTCTGGAGCCCCCTCCACTGTCGACATCAAATTTCATGGCGCCCTATTAGATAGCTAGAGAGCATGGGTTTAAGGGCGCGAGCGCGCGTCTTGGTGACAATTTTACGAGCAATACATGGCGAAGCAATTGATTGAGCTTGCACGCTTAGCTAATAGAACTAGAGACTTGAGTCACAAAATTCAGACAATGTTGCATCCACAAGTCAATCTATCATCCAACTATTTGCACTCAAAGATGTAATGGAATGGTATTTAGCAACGTTTTCTATCAGCAAATAGCTTTCTTAGATTCAAATCAGGCGCAGACCGAAAAGATTATAAATGAAATATATATTTTTAGTGCTGATTCTGCGATATTAAAGTTAAAAAGTTGCACTTAAGGGACAGTTTCGATAATTAGTTGGTAGATCGTGTTTTTATTTATTTATGTTTTTCAAATCAAATAAACAAAAACGTTGCCAAAAAAAAACCTAATATGTTTTTTTTTACAATATTGTTATTCTACAATACCCATAAAAATATTCAAGATTGATAATTCTGCCTAACACTTTCATATTAACAAGGCTTCACGCCTGCAAAACGTTGTACGAATTTATTAGCACGAGAATGAAGTTAAGGTAATATTTTCAGTATAGGTGAGCTTTTCCATTTATAATTTAATACAAAAAACAAAGAACACGGAAAAAAATATTTAAATGATTACAATCTATTGTTTGTTTTTGTGACAGCAGTGCTGCAACACTGAGAGAGTTTTCATTGACAATTAGGGAATGTCTATGGTTGCTTCCCATAGGTGAAAAACATTATAATTTGATCAACTTAGCAAATTTGACAGTCAGACCAAGACCTCATTTAATAACTAGAAATAATATTGCTGAGACAAATTGTGGGTATTCCTGCGACATCGGTCTCAAATAACTGTTGTCGCAGTTCCGTAAATTGAGAACCATTTGCTCTTTAAATATTTTGTACAGGACATATGGCTATAGGCTTATTAGAAGACTTACTAGAACATATGAAGAGTTTTCCAGTTGTAAAAGCCTGGAAAATTGCTTGACAAATTCGGGAGCAAGTTATCTTTATATACGAATATACAACTGCGATAGGCAATCGATTTCTTTTACGAATCATACACGTTATTTGATTCGATTTAAGAAATATGTTTTGTCGATGTATTTCTTTACCTCTTATAAGGCATTATTATTAAAATAATTATAGTTTGTTTAGCATATAGCTAGGGTCAGTTCTTTAGGGTTGGGGTTGGTTGGCAAACTCACCTGCGAAATGTAATCATCCGTGAAGGAACGCACCAAACGGTCAGCGGGAACTTGTGCCGTTAGTTGAATTTTGGTATTGTTGTTGTCATTTGTAGCTGCAGTTGCTGTTTTAGTTGTAGTTGTAATTGTAGTTGAGTGGTTTGGCGATCGTTGCGATCTATCACATAAAACATTTTGCCGAGTGCTGAGAGCCACGCTCTTTATGTTGCTCGGAGCAGTTGTCGCCGTCGACGTCGATGGCGCTGCCGCGGTCGTTCTCAGTCTGTCAAGCAATGGCGGCTGTGACGTCACTGCATTTTCATTTTCCTCATAGAGTGACTCGTAGGAGGGCGGTTCTTTGATGGCCGTAGCCGCCGACGAACACCAGTTGGTTAAAGTGTGCGCCGGACTGCCATAGTAGGGATAGGAGTAACGGTTGCGATTGCGATGGCCAGCCCCAGAATGCTTGGGCACATCAAAGGTGGCAATTGCCGCATCGTAAGCACTTAAGCTAAAGTGAGGAAAAGGCACAAGGGGTCGTGGGGCAGTTGGAGTGGCAGTCGGTGCTATCGGTAGTGGAATTGATGGTGGGGGCAGGGGCAGAGACAGCATCTGACTGCTTAAGCTGGTCTCAAAACTGCTGTGCGATTTGCGCAGCGTTCGATTGAGTCGCTCGTCATCGTCCTCGTCCTCAGAGGAGCAGCTGTTGGTGGGTGTTGTGCGTTCGTAGGGTGTCCAGAGCATGGAGGAGAGCGCCGCCTCGACGTCGGGCGGACGCTGGCGATGGGGCGTGCGTTCAGACATCGAGATCGCTTGACTGCAATTGCCTTAGTTCTGTGCATTGCTCAAACACACCGCCCCTCCTAGTCATGCGAATATGTCGGCTGTCTCGTTCCTGGGAAGGCATCTAGTAGTGGCATCCTGTTCACAGTCTGTAAGAAGGGAGAAGAAACGAGTTGTAACGAATTGTAACTAAATGTGCGCAGACAAAAGTTTTAACTAACCAAATCCCTGACAAATTAAACGATTACAATTTGAAATCATTCTAATGCCCTAAATTCGAAGGCAAACTCACTCGACTAGAGAGCAGACAGAAAGTTTGTCCTGTCCCCTTTTATTTTGCAATTTGATAAATTGCGATTAAAGCATTTAAAATGGCTAAAAATGGAAACGCCATGAGACATGAAAAACAAGCTTCCGTTTTGTGAGCAAAATATACGAGCATATATACTTACATATACGAGTATGTATGTACTACAAGTATATGTATGTATGTATGTATGTATGTATGTAGGACGGGTATGCACAAAAAGTTTTCGATGAAAAGTTTTTGGCAGGCTCCTCTTTCCCAAAACTTTGGAAAAAGACTCACACATACACACACTTGTATATTTGTGAATTTAGGCTGTCGTGGTTGTTTGCGTTAGAAAAACTCACACACAGAGCCAAAGTTTAAACTTCATTGCCAACGCTTGACGCCACGCTACGCCACGGCACTCGAATCGACTCGGCTTGGCTCTCAGCTTTCTGTTTGGCCTTTCAGTGCGTTTCCCCAGATGCCAAGGGCTGTAGAAAAATGGCACACAAAATGGCTTGGCTGCTTGCTGCCGCTGCCGCTGCCTCGTATTATTGCACTAAATGAGAGTGAGCGAGAGAGGGAGAGAGCGAGACATTGAAGCGGAAATGGCTGGCCATAGACGTCACTTCAAGTCTTTGGATGGCGTTCGCTGTTGTCGCCATTCATGCACCCGAACCATTCAATTCACAGGCACACACACAGGCAACTTTAAGCCTCACACATACATACAACCGCAGAGGGCAATCTGATGCTGTAGTTGAAGTTTTATGTGTTGCATATCCTAAGGCGCTTTGCTGTTCTAATTTTTTCTCGCACTCTGCATCCCTTCCTTGCCTTCTATTATTATTATTATTTTTTTGCTGCTCGCCACTGACTTTGGACAAGTTTTCGCCAGCATTGAAACTGATGTTTTTGTTATGCTTAAATAAAGATTTGTGTTAGTGTGTCCCATTATTTTCCCCTACCTACTGTCCGTTGTGTTTTCTATTCGCATTGTTGTTGTTCATGTGGTTTCTGCCGCCACTGCGCATTTTTTCCTTATGTTTGCTTGTATTTTTATGTGCATTTCTTCCATTCAGTGCTGTCATTCTCCACAGAAGGTGATGTTTCATTGTTGTGTCGCCTTTTGTCCGCAAAGGCTGCACACACACACGAAATACACAGACACAGCAAACAATAGCAGCTCACAAATTAATACGTGTAACCATTGTATAAGTTTCTCTTCTCTGAATGGGTTGAGTGTGTGTGTGAAGGTCTGTGTGTGTATGGCACTGCATGTAATATGCATGTTACCTACTTTTGTGCGCTTTTAATTAACAACATCAAACTTGCCCATTCAACAATGAGCAAATACCTTGAAACATTGCTTTTGAGCATTTCTACAAACGAATTCAATGCTGCTAGAAAATGAAATGGAAATCAATTTATAGCACCTCTATATAAATAATACCTGATATCTATTATTCAGTTACTCATTTTAGAGAACCTGGAAGATCTTTCGGCGATACTATTTTACTTTGACAATCCTTTAGTAATGGATAATTTTTAAGCCAACAGATACTAAAATGATTCATTATTTTGGTATTAGGCATTTCTATTATTTGTATTTCTAATAAATACGAGTAATTTTTTACAAAAACCTATGCACCTTTTTGTATGCCCATGCAAATATTGAAAGGTAATATATATATACATATATGGCTATAATATGAACATTAATTTTCTTATTCACTTTTTAACTAGAAAACGTGTGTATGTGTAACAGGTTTTTAAAAAGCTTTTTGCGGCACAACTAGATGTTATTAATGGATCGCAATTTTGTGGAAATTAAGAAAACACACCTATGTGATATAAATCTTCTTGCAAATTATGTTAAAAAAAAGAAGTGACTTAAATAATAATAAGTCTTAAATAATAATCTATGGTAAGGTATCTCATTTAACAAATGACTATGGTTCTTTTGTAAAAACAGCAATAGCTGTTAATGAATGGTGCCAATTGTGAAAGGCGATCAGATAGTTATGCAACGGAATTGTGGTAATCAAATGTTTTCCTATTTAAATAGTCACAGCTATAGAGCTACCGAAATGAAGACTTAATGAGGGTAATGGTACAATTAGTAATAATATGAATGGATGAGTATCAAAAAAAAGGGAAAATATTTTATTGTGCCACATTTGTCGAATATTTTAGTAGCGAATAAGAAAACTCCATGGTACATACATTTTTTGAAGCATCCAAACATTTTTTTCATTCAGCTTATTTCAGAGAGTACAAGAATATTAAACAAGTAATCTCCAACTACTTATGCCAGGGCGCTGAACTGTTTATGGCTTTAACAAATGCTCATTTTTAATATACAACGAGCAATGTGGCCAGTCGCCCCTTAAATTTAAGTATTTTAGCAGCGAAATTGAAATTGAATTCTAACAAGCTGCACAATTTGTAGAATAAAAATACAAATAGAAAAGTTGGCGAAAAGAAATGAAATTAATGCTGCAAATCACGAAGGCAAATAAATAAGCATAGAAATGCTGGCATAAATAAATATTTATGAAAAGTTGGGGCAGAATGAAAATTGACGCAGGAACAGGACAGCAGTCGCCGAGAAAAGCTCACAAATGAGCAAAATTTGTGCAGCATTTTCGATTGAATGGAATTATTTACATAAATATTTCACAGGGTGCTGGCAGATTTTTATTTTATTTCATTTTTTTTTATTTTATATTTGACTAGACGTGCGTCAGTCAATCGTCCCAAAAATGGGGAAGAGACTGCAGTGGGGGGCCATGAGAAAGTTTTGCTGCTGTCGCCTGGCTGGGGAATTGTCGAGAAAGAAAGTTGTCGCTGTTGTTGCTTCAGCTGCCGTTGGCATCGTCGTCTTTGCAGGAGTCACAAATTGCTGCCAGTATGTTTGCAATGCAAACAAACTTTATCTAATTAAAGGAACACGTGTTACTGCCACGCAATGCGATGCCCGCTTCCTAGGCAACGTCGCCTAACTCCGTAAGATGCTTTGCATTGACATCTCAATGTCGATAATAACTACGAATTCTGATGATGACGACGACGATGATGATGAGGACGAAAACGACGCACTCGACATGCTTTTGATGTCTCACTTCGTATACTCGTATGCCAATTCTGCATTTTCACATGTAAATGGCTCAAGAGGCGTGAGTGTGTGTGTGTGTGTGTGTCTACTCGTATGAATATTTGTATATAGTATGTGTTTCCTGTGTATCCTCTATGAGAGTTTGCCCGTAGGCCTATTGCTGCTTCTGTAGTCAACGTTAACGTCACCGTCTGTCGAGTACCTTTTGAGTTGTTTGTCAATATGTAGACCATTATTCAATCAATATATTGACACACATTTCATTTCCTTCAGAGCACACCAAGACAAATCGAGCTCAGACCCAGACCCAGTCGTGTCGTGTCGTTCTTCTTGTTTGCCCGTCGGCAGCAAAGTGCCGCACTCGAACTGGAGTCCTAATGCCACCCCACCATCTTCTTAGAAGCCAGCCAACCAACCAGCCAGCCAGCCAGCCAGCCAGCCAGCCAGAATGTTTAGCAGAAGCTTCAGCTCCCCCGCCAATAATACGGCCAAGTGCTAATCGCAAACAAAGTAGTTTTTGCTCGAGTTCCATTTCAATTTCTTTTGACGTGCTCGCGCTTCTTCCCCTCAATGTATTTTTATGCCTTGTAGCTGTTTGGTTTTCCTTCTTTCGGCTTGTACTTTTCCCAATTTTTGCTTTCGTCGAATGCTTCGATTGATTCCAACGCCACTTTTACGTACTTTGACACAATTCTATGTGCCCAAGGGACGTTCATTTCCGCTAAGTATATATTGTACTGTACGTTCTGTGTGGATGTGTATGTGGGAGCGGAGAAGGGGAATGTGCAGTAAACCCGAGCTCCTTAAAATTGAATTTGCCGCCTTTTTATTTACTCACGCGTCTCGCTTTCTTTCGCTTTTTTCGTTTTTTTTTTAATTTAATTCGACTTCTCGTATTTGGCACTCGAGAAGTTTTGAGTAACTAAAGCAGCGCACAAAAGTAGACTACGCTTTTCGTTCCGTAAGCCAATAAGTCGCTGACTGATTTTCATCAATCGCCAAATCAACATTGGCGTCTTGCCGCTAAATCGTTTAAGCCATCAAAGCTTTGTTTATTTTTCACAGCTACATGCTGATGGTTTTCTCAAGCAAGATCATCCCACCAAACGCTCAAATTCAATTCGAATTGAACGCTGAGAACGAGACATTAAATAGTCGTAGCATCTAATCCCATATAAAAATTTTCAATTTAAAAGTCACACCGACTGCTAATTTGCATTTCAAGTAGTAGCTTAAGTATACATATATACTAAACTAAAATTATGTAATTTAACTTAAAACAAACTCATTCTCTCGATCCACTTATGGTGCTACTCGTACTACAGGCACCGATAATTAACTTTAGTTGTGAAAGACCGCATTTCAATTTAACTTTGGACTTAATAGACATGCCAGAAAAAACATTGCGAAATCTTCTGCCGAAAGCCTTGACTTCAATTAACTAAAACTATCAAGCAAACTATAAACTCTTGCAACACAAATGTGGCCAGTTTGAAAACAGTTATGCAGGCAACTTACCCGAAATGGCAGCAGAGGCACGAAAAGCACAACAAAGGCTTTAAAGCAACTTTAATGAACACTTCAAAACTTTAACGTGGCCTGGCGTGGCGT